TGGTGGAATCGCAGAACAGAGGCCACATTTTCACCTTTGCCCTGATGAGCATCTGAAACATTAACTCATTTTCCGGAGTTTTAACACAGAGCAGATTGATTGGCTCACTCTGCTGATGCATGACAGGCTGGAACACGAGTCCAACTATCTTATAGAATCGTTAATGAATCTCTATGCCAAGCAAATGATTCATCTATTGATTACAAGAATGAGGTACAGGAAAGCTTTTCTGAGAATTTATGACTTTCTTATTGTATGCAAGCTGCATTCTGCTGCTGTCAGGATGCAGGTAACTAACTGTTTATATGAAAAAGATAAAGAAACAACCAAATGTTTGTGGTTTTACCTGTCAGGTTTATCCCAGAGTCTCCAAGGTGGCTCATCTCTCAAAACAATTCCTCAAAAGCTCTGGAAATAACCAAGGCTATTGCCAAGGAGAACAGGAAGAATCTCTCCTCTCATTTTGAGGTAAATCCTGTCAATAGTCAAATCCTTTCCTCTGCAGTGGAAGGACTTTGATTAGTTTTAATATAAACAAGGTTTAAGTTCATTCTCATTCTCATCTCATTCCTTGGACGGCTACTTTTTACTTTTACTTGAGTAAAAATACTATATTATGAAGAAGTCCTTCTCTTACTGGAATGCAGATTTTAGGTGCTCTATCCACCTTTGCATGTTTCTTAATATTCAACTGGCTTAAACAGTTGTTGGAAATTGGGTATAACATAAAATCTACAAGGAATAATGTACAATTTAATTGCATAATTATAACTTCTCTATGTAATTCATCAAAAATACTGAAGACAACTTGTTCACTTTGGTTAATGACAGCATGTGGGTATTTCCACCTAACACATTTTAAACTACTGGCAGGACTGTATAATTTAATCCATAACTACATTACTGTTGTAATGTTAATGAATTGTGTTGTAATTTTAATGAATTGTGTTGTAATGTTAATGAATTGTGTTGTAATTTTAATGAATTGTGTCTCATCATAGATATTAACTGATGATGAAGTTGAGTCCGCCTCTGCCTCTTTGTTGGACTTGATCAGAACTCCCAAAATGAGAAAACACACTTTCATCCTCATGTTTAACTGGTCAGTAACTGGTCAGTAACTGGTCAGTAACTGGTCAGTAACTGGTCAGTAACTGGTCAGTAACTGGTCAGGCTCTTCTAAACCATCAGATCATTCCAGCCCTGCATGCAGGACAGATTAAACGCTTCATGTCTTTATATTCCTTAGGTTCACCAGTGCTGTGGTTTATCAGGGCCTCATCATGCGGGTGGGGATAACAGGAGGAAACGTCTACATCGACTTCCTTATCGCCGGTCTGGTTGAGTTTCCCGCCGCGTTGCTCATCCTGTTGACCATTGAGCGGATCGGCCGTCGGCTTCCCTTTGCGTCCGCCAACATCGTAGCTGGAATCTCCTGCATCGTCACGGCTTTCATTCCTGACAGTGAGACATCTTACAGGCTAAAATCAGGAAGAAGCGTAAAAACAGTCACTGCATAAATACTTTCTGTTCTTCAGGCATGTTCTGGCTGAAGACCATAGTGGCCTGCGTCGGCCGGCTGGGGATCACCATGGCCTTTGAGATGGTGGTGTTTGTTAACACGGAGCTTTACCCAACTTGCATCAGGTGGTTAATAAATAAGCATCGTTGGGCTGACTAATGTACTATATAACCAACCTCTCTAACTTTTTGCTGTAGGAACCTGGGAGTGTCAGTTTGCTCCACTCTTTGCGATATTGGAGGAATTGTTTCTCCCTTCTTGCTCTACAGACTGGCCAGCGTCTGGCTTGAGCTGCCTCTCATTATCTTTGGTAGGTCTCCATGCTTTGTGTTGACATCCTGGCCAGGCCAGCAAATCCAAACACCTTAAAAGCCTTTACAGTCTGATTGATGTTCGTAGCTGTTTCTCATCTGTCCTTTAACTTCCTTATCTTGCTTTCTGGGATCTTAAAGCCTACTTCATGTCGTCTTTCAGGTTCTTTTTAAGTGATTTATTTTATTTTACAGACCAGGCAGAGACTGGCTGCTCAAACTGGACCAAGAACTGTTTTTTTTTTTTTTTTTTTGTATTTGTGATTTGAAAGGAGAAAAATATATTTCTAAGCAGTGCATTGATTTTATCTGAAAAAAACTATATTTTGTTTTTTACACAGGATGTCTGATGATTTCAAATATTAAGTGGGGCAAAAAACACATAATGAATCACCATGATGCTTCAAAAGGTTTCTTAACCTGGTAGAAATGGATTTTAAGCTAATGGAACAAATGAACAAACAAAGCGAATACTGACCAGAACTGTCTGGTTCAGGTTAAAGTTATCAAAACATTGATCGACTTTGGCTTCATTGACCTTCATGCTCTGATCCTAAACAGGAGTTGTAGCTCTGGTAGCTGGAGGTTTGGTTCTGCTCCTGCCTGAAACCAGAGGAGTTGCTCTTCCTGATACCATCGAGGACGTCGAATTTCCTGATCGGTAAAAAAAAAAAAAATCACCAGCCCTTCATGCTAAGACTTTAGCACCTTATATGTTGTAGATTTATTGTTTTTGACAGACTATAATACAATTTTATTGTTATTCACTTCAAGTCTTTTCTTTTCTCAGGAAAAAGGAGAAACAAGAAGAAAATCTGGAAGTGAAGCAAGTCTTGAAAACTAATGAAGTGGCTTAGTTTTATTTTAACAAATTAGTTCCAACCTAAGAAATCAGTTTTTATGTGTTTTTAATTCAAAGCATTACTTCTAAAATCAAGCATTTGTTTTTTCCCAGTACAACATAATCGTCAGCTTTTTAGTTGGCTAGCATTATTTTCTTGACCCAGGCTTAAGTCAACCTGGAAATGCGCTGGAATCAAATTAGAACAAACTGGATTTTAAAACATAATGTTGAAAACTGAATTTTTAACAGAAATTGCATTTTTCTTCTCCTTTTTGTCTACTTTTTTATTGTGGCACTTAAAGAATCATCACCCTACAAAACACCATTAAATGAATTAATCATTCAATAATTGTATTAAATGACATCATGGAGTATATTTTATGGTAAAATGTCATCGGATTTTAAGTGTGAAAAACATTTAACACTATAATGTTTCAAATGCATAATATTATTCCAGTTGTATTAATAATATTGTATTATACTATGTGTGAAAAATACATCCAACAGTGTTTGTTTCATTAACAAGACAAATATTTATGTAGGAATTTTACAAATAAATAGCAAAAACTCAGTGATGCTGAACAAAGTTGAAATAATTTCCGTTGAATGCTTTGATCATGTAATATGACATCAGTAACTTTAGTTGTGTCCTGTCACTTTAAACACAGCTGAAATGAATCTGTTTACCTGCAGCATTGTGAGGTTAGTCAGCTGGTACCATCATGTTTATGGAAAATTACCTGCATTTCTTTAGCGCTTTATCAAGTCCAGAGGACTTGAAAGCTGTTTACATTCAGTCAATCAGGTGTGGCTACATTGTGAGCAGTCCTGAGAAAGTCTGACAGAATCTCATTTTCCCTCCCTTCCTTCTCATTCTTACCTTTTAAACCACTCAATCGTTGCTACTCCACAAGCTGAGATCCATATGGACTCTCAGTCTGAGGGAGATTGACAGTCATTTATTATTTGGTGCTGTTTGTCTATTGTCCTGTAGTCTCTAATTTAGGATAAAACAGCTCTTTGTTCTTGTCTGTGTTGGGAGGTTGGAGTGTGATTGAACAGATGTCTTTTCTACAAGTAATGAGTTTAAACAGCTGCAAAATGTGGACAGGTAACTGGGAAAACTTTAAAGAAATCCTTGATGCATCAAAAACTTGTTTCCTTCACTATTCAAAATCTAAAGTGATGTCAATAATTGCGTCACCTTTTTTTCTGCAGTGATGCAACAGTAATGCCGGGAAGCCAGTGTTTGCAGAGATTGTCATTGACCCAGTGGGGTTATATTTGAAACATAAGGTACCAAATAAAGGACCACTTGGTCAAAAAGACAATAATTTGTTTTTGGTTAATAGTTTAACTTTTCTTCAGCACAATTGTTAGAAATATCTTACTCTGCTATTGACTCAATGACTGAAGCCAAAAAAAGAAAAGAGGTGGACATTTTATCAAGTTGTTCATTTAAAAAAACTGCCATTTTCTGCCATTATCACAGCGTTGAGACAATCTCCTGGCTCTGAGTGGTTGTTGAGGGATTCGTTTCTGCAGATTGCAATGGCAGGGGTTAGAGGAGAAGCCTGAATGTTATTTTTTATTTTTTGCACAGATCAGCTGCCTTATATGATATTGCACTGAAACAGTTACAGTTTTGGAAAATATGTAAAAATACATTCCCTTTATGAATCTTGCATACTGCAGGTGCAAGTGGACCAACGTACCTTGATGCCTTGCTATGAAGTACTGAAAATAAGTGTTGATGATTGCTGTCGATCATAACATTGACCTCTATTCATCTATTCAGAAAGGCTGAATAGATGCCAAGTACGTTTGGTTTTATTCTTTATTCTTATTTTTTGTATTTCAAAAGTACAGTTTGTTTAATAGCACCCTCTAGTGATCAGAAGCTACGATACAGCTGATCTTAGTGCTCCTGTTTTGAAAAGTGAACAAACCTGTTTATTAAAAATAAGACCTAGTTTGAATTGAATTTCTTCCAGGTTAAAATTAAATTGTTCATGTTCAGAAGTTAACATCTTATAATTTAAATGAAATTAACAGTTTCAGCTTGAACAGATGTTCATTGACCTTTGATGACCTCTAGAAACTTTTCTTTTAATAGCTGCACCAATGTGGCCAACTTGATTGACACCCATTGTACCTGATTTGAAGAAGGGGGGGTTGGTTGACCTTTGATGACCTCTATAAACTATTACTAATATCATTAAAATGATAGCAGTACAAATGAAACACAAATGTAGCACAGTGGATTGAATCCAAATTCATTAGAGGAGAAGCCCGAATGTTATTTTTATTGCACAGATCAGCTGTTTTATATCATACTGTACTGAAGCAGTTGCAGTTTAATTAAGGTTTTCCAGGTCAAAGAAGTCCAGGTCCGATATCCGTGGCAAACCTGGTTTAGAAAAAAATGCAAAAATTGTCAATAACTTGATATTTATGTATTCATTCATGCCTGCAAATTTCGGTTAGATAAAAGAAAATCAGAAATTGTTCAAAATGCTCTTAAAATATAGACATATCATACAACATATTGCACTATGATATTAACAGATTGGATATCTTCAGGAAAACAAACTTCAACCTAAGCACTTATAATTACATACATGACTTAAACATATTTAGCACCTGCTGTACCTTGATAAATATTGAAAATACATTCTGGCACATAGCAGTAATCCCACATGTTGTTACCGATGTAACACCATGGTTTGCTTGTCCTTCCCAACACATTACGACAATAATTGTGGCGTAAATCACTGAAAAGGACAAGAAAAGCCTTTGTTAACCCAAACATGATGTATAAATAAGATCAATGAAGCATAATAAATTAAGTTTATACTGATAGGTTGAATTTCTTTCTATTACAAGGAATGATATTATTTTCTATTAGCATATTATAATAGATCAGAGTAGGTTGTATCTCCTACCTGCAGGGGAAACTTTCAGGTTTATAGGGACTTTCCGACCACCTTTTGCATGGATAACCATTCTGAGTCACAGACAATGTGCCGCGGTAGTTCTTACCATTACCAGTCATACAGATCATCTCAGGATTGATAAGGGGGGGAGGTGGTGATGCTAAAATTGGAAGAAAGTCGGTAAAGTTCACTGTTAGAAAACAAATGCATACATTCAAATTATTTTTATTAATGTCTAGCTTTGTGCTGTACAAAAGTCATCCACCATATGTTTCTGAAATATAAAATGAAATAAAAATCTCAAATTTCAGACAATCTCATTCGTCCCTAGAATATTCCAAACATCGTTTTAACCTCACTGCGTCACGTTGACTCAGTGGGACAAAGTTTTTGTGCTACTAACTTATAAATATTTGTGATATTTACACTTATGTATGATGTAATTGTGATTTTTTTATTACTTGCTGTATAGATCATGGACTATAATGTGACAAGAAATACTGCTGAGGCAGCTGTTTAGTGCAAGAAAGAAAGTTAGCATCACTTAAACCCAAAGTTTTTCATCATTTTTGCCAAAAATCATCAATAAATGCACAATTAGTGCAAACAAATTTGGGAATTTGTTGATTTTGTGGAAAATTTTAAAAACTCCTTTTGTAATTGATCAAATGATATTTAATTACATTGTTATCTTGACGGTACTCCAAGACAACACACCACCACGTAACACATCACACACTTCAGGACGTTGTGAGATTGCCGTAAAGGGAAAGTCGGGGTAAAAAAAAAGAAAAGGAACGCCAACATGCAAAAGCATAATCTCACGCTCCCCACCCTCGGGCCGTAACAAAACTCGCCAAGTCTTGACCGGTCCATGGTAATAAAAAGGTTGGAGACCACTGCTCTAGAAGTGAAAAACTATAGCAATGTTTCTCTGATTGCAACTCTCTGTCATGTGCAGCACAAACATTTGCTCAGGTGTCATATACAGTGAAGAACCTAGACACTAAATTATCCCAAAACATTCAAGCACTAGTGAAAGTAGCAACTGAAACAGAACGACATACAGCAGCGGGGGATGTCGCAATAATCCCATCTTTTGGCTGGATCTGTGGTGTAGCACCACGGCGCAACATCTTTATTGGGATTCCTGCAGAAGTTCCCTTCCAGAGTTTGACCTCCATCACTAAAACAAGGAAGTTTCTGAGGTTCAGTTCAAACTGTTGAAAAAACTTTTAAACACGTTGAGAACGTATTTAGAAAATATCAAATGTTCAAACCCAGTCTCACCTTTCTTTTGCCCAATGGATGTGAGGATATTGTGAGTCCCAGCGCTGGCAGGTGAAACCATTTTGTGTCCAGGAAATAGATCCTCTGTAGTTTTCACCGTTGCAGTGCATACACTCCCCTGTCATTTGAGACAAACATACAGAATAAACATAGAGGTTTGAACACAATATATTTTTAAATACTTCAAATACAATGTATCAGACTATAAAGAAAAGAAAACATAAAATAACACGAGTGAACTGTTGATATCCATGTTTACAATTGAATGTTACATGTTTTTAACTGCTTGATATGTGATTGCATGATGTTAATTAAAGCGAATGAAAATGAGATGCACTTGTCATTTTCATTTAAAACATCTTGTTGACAACCACAGATAAAATTTAGTTTCTGATTTAATCAATTTCAAATGAGTGGATAGAAACAGGCCTTGTTAAATTTTCGTTTTAAAAATTCAAGTTGGGATCAGAAACTCTCAAGAATTTTTCTGAAACTTTGTTTCATGGCGTCATTTACATGTTTCAACCACTCAGAAATTATAATACCGTAATTATAGCCATATGCAAAACATTCTTATACAAATTGTATAGTAAATTACTGTAATTAGTTTCTCTCCAACATACTTCTGCTGTATTCTGGGTTTCTAAAGTGGATTATTTGAATGAAAATCAGAAGGTTTCTGATTAATCTCAAAATGTCAAAACTTATTTATGTAGTATATTTAGAACAACCTGAGCTGACTAAAGTGCTGCACAGCAATCAACATCAAAGTAGATGAACAATAAAACAAAAATAAAATTGTTTTGGTAAAAATAATGGCTTCTGTTATTTTGGTAAGACTTGTGAATGTTGAATTCAGAACCACAAGTTTTAGATTCTTTTAGTGTACGGCCAAAATAAAGGGCCATCCTGGATGTGTATTCAGATTAAATTAAACCATGAAACGCTTTGCTTCATGTATACCTGGAGGGAGGATCCTGTTGCAGAGCGGCAAGTTGCAGTACTCCCAACGTACAAAAGGGTCAGTGGTGTAACACCATTATTGGGGTTGCGACAATAGTTTTTATCTAAGCCGCTGTGAAAAAAAAATGACACAGATGAAACCCATTGGAAATCCAATATAAAAGCTTAACTTGTTTTTATGAAAACAAAAGACGTTCACTCAATTATATTGACTGAAATGGCTGTTCACACTGCAGCCTGAAGTGACCCAATTTTAATTTTTGTATCAAATCGGATTTTTCTTTTTTTTGCCAGGGCCGTTCACATTTCCAAATAAATGGAAATGTGACAACACGACCTGTATGTGTTGTCCAGTGTGAACGGTAAACGACCTGAACGTGTCCCGCATGCGCAGCAGAGGGCACAATAACATCAATGTTTTCAGTATTTTGCAATCTGCCACAAAAAGAAGAAACATTCAGTGTTTTTGGAAGTGAACATGGAAGCTAATAATGGACTAAAGCTTACACATTTTAAGTTATTGTCTAACCGGAGCTGCATACTAACAACTTAATTCTCATTGCAGTCCATCATGGTTGTTGTTTTTCTTCCTGCTTGCGCTCATCAGGACGCAGAATAATGTTGAGTGCCAGCAACGTTCAGGTCATTAGGTTACATTTGGATCGGATAAGTGGCCTGGGTCGCATTAGAACAGAATCCAACCTGTGTGGTTCAGACTGTCAGAAAAAGATTAGATACAGGTCACTTTACGCAAAAACAATTGGACTTGGGTCACTTCAGGCTGAACACAAGCTTATTCTAGCTACTCATTGCTCTGTTATGTAAATAATTTCTCTTACGCGTAGGGATACATCAGTGGCGAAATGTCTGAATGGTGTGGCGTTTGAGCTGCCCACTCCTGGCATGTTCGACCACTCGCTGTCACGCCCACTGTCCCGCGGTACGCAGCACCATTGCCAGTGATGCAGGTCAAATACTGGTTCCCCCCTTAAAGAAAAGACATGAAGAAAATATTCTCATTCTATCTTATATTGTTTTGACAATATTTTTTAATCATTTGTTTCTGATGTAAATTGAATTTTCTTTTCATCTTTTGTTTTTTTCGCTGTTGGTTTTGTGTAGTATCAATACATTACTATGCATCTCACAAGCAGACCATATTACTCTAATATACATAATTCCCACTAAAGAGTACAAGCACACTTTGGTGCAGAACTTGCTGTTCCCTTGTGGGAATTGTACAAATACAAAAAACATGTATAAATAAATAAATTGTGTTAAGAAAGTTGAAATAATTTCCACTGGATAACGCATCAACAGACTTTTGTCGTGTCCTGTCACTTTAAGATCAGCTGAAATTAATTGTTTACCTGGGTAGATGACAAATTGAGCTTCCAGCCCTGACAACAAAGAATGAAATGTCAGCAGGTTAGAAAAGTAATGCACAGCCTGTACATTATGATAAATGGCCTGTAGTTCTTTAGCGTTTATCAAGTGCAGAGGACTTGAAAGCTGTTTACCTTCAGTCATTCAGCTCTGACAAAATCTGCCATTCTTCTTTGGCCTTCACTCTTCAATTAGCAACTATTTGTTTTTTATTTTGACTAAAACAATCACTCAGATATTTTTCATCTTACCAGTGCAGATGAAGGCTCCCAGCAGAAATGCCACCTTGTAGAGGTCCATGGTGAGGACCTCACACCAGCTGTTTGTTACTTGCACTCAAACATCCCTGTAGTAAATATAATGCATTGGACAAATTGGGCCGTTCAGTTTTTAGCCAATGGTTGGCCTGGCAAGTAACTCAAAGAGCAACAGTCCATAGTCCTTGTTTGTGTTTTTTTCTTTCCAGTGAGCAAAATTTTGCTGTCAAAATCTTATCCATTTTTAATTTCTTTCCCTGACTATAAAATAATTTTTAATATTAATTTTAATATTAATAAATTACATATTTCTGATAAAACATCACTACCCAAACTGGTTTTGGAAAATTTAGGACAATCAATTGATTTTCTCCTGCATGTTAAAGTAACATTGGATCCTACGTTAAGATCCAAAGAGGTCACTGGTTCCCTCCAACAGAAGAGTTTAAAAGCTTAATACTCAAGCAAAATAATTGAATTTCTCTCAGAGAATATTGGTTTAATATTCCACTTCTTACTTTCTCTGCCTCTTAGGCTGTTTGTCTATTGTCCTGTAGTCTCTAATTTAGGATAAAACAGCTCTTTGTTCTTGTCTAGGTTGGAGTGTGACTGACTGTGTGAACAGATGTCTTTTCTACAAGTAATGAGTTTAAACAGCTGCAAAATGTCGACAGGTAACTGGGAAAACTTTTTTAAAATCCTTGATCCACCAAAAAACTTGTTTCCTTCACTATTCAAAATCTAAAGTGATGTCAATAATTGCATCACCTTTATTTTCTGCAGTGATGCAACAGTAATGCCGGGAAGCCAGTGTTTGCAGAGATTGTCATTGACCCAGTGGGGTTATAAATTAGCCCTTAATCGTGCAACAAACCACACATCTGTACCTCACGTTGCTCCTTTATTTTCTTTTTACGTGGGAATGATTTAAAGTACCACCAGACATGTTTTTGTCCAAATTTGAGAAGTATTGAGGTTCATGTGACTATTTACTTGGAAGAGGAGCATCCTTTTTATGAAGCAGAGTTGTGTGGTACACCGTTCCTCCTTTATGTTTAAATTTAGGGAAATTCTAACTAAAATATTTTAATATCTGAGAGTATTTAAAGAAACATTGTAGATCATTTTAAGACATTTTTTTTTATCATTTATATACTTAAACCATGATGGTTGTTTTGTTTGTTGCTTCAGGGCAACATTGCGCAGTTGGTGCCGTTTTATTCAGACGATATTATTCTAGTGTGTCAATATGCAGTGATTACAGTGATTACTATAGTCACTGGAATTATTTACTTTATTACTGACTAGCAGCAACAGGAGATGGATGCAAGATCAGTTCATGCACAAGTGCATTGTTCATAAGTTGTTCCCGATGAAAACATGAGGTTCTACTGTACAACCATTATTTCATTGTTTGTTTATCCTCAAAACTAAGTTAAGTCCAAAAGGGTGAATAAATGAACAAATGGCCCTATTCCAAGAAAGGTAAAGACTGAATCTGCCAAAACCACAAATCTGGGCTGCAGGGTTCGTCATATGGCTGGTGCAGATGGAGTTCCTTGCAATTTTAAAACCCGCACAGGGTGAGTTGTGCCACCACTAAAGCTGCTGCAAATGTTGTCCTTTGCTTACCAAGGAACCAGAACTACAAACTTTTGAAAAAGAGCATGCAGCCCTAACTATAGTCACTGGAATTTGGTTGCTACAACTCATAGATAAACAGATAAACAGATGTGGATGCACACGTATGTCAATAATCAAGTACCAGAAATGTGATATACACAGCAAGTAATTCCTTCCTGATGTTTTCCATGTAATATGGAAAAGACTGATGGAAACATCCTTAGTGATTCTAACTCCACCAAACTTACACACAAACAAACTCACAAATGCTCGGTTTAGTACTTTTCTTAAATGTACCATTGATTCATAAAAGTTAGTTGTTTGTTTCACATTTGGTGAGTTGGTCCCATGTCTGATTTATTTTTGTCAACAAAAAGTTTTTTTCATAAAAATAGTTTTGTTTGATTTGTATTTTATTTCTCACAATCACTATAGAAAGAATCGGTGTTTTAGACGTCTTGTAGCACAATGCTGCCCTGAACAAACCCAAATCTGGTCCTGGGAGGTGTCAGGGTCCAATTTTATGATTGATATGGAATTAGGGACCATTACTGGGACCAATCCTGGCCTGCAATTTTGAGATGTGCCACAGATACAAAACACTGGAATCAAATGGCTTAATTACCCCCTTCTTGTGTAGATCGGTCCTCTAGAGCCTTGCTAATGACCTAATTTTTTTATTCAGTTGTGGTGCAGAAGAGGCTCATCTAAAAGTTTGACATCTGTGCCATAGAGGAAAAAATAAACTGTGAAGTGCACAATTCAGAGACTGAGGTCCAGACAAAAGTCAGGGAGCAAAAACAATCTTTAATACATCTGCAGACGGAGAGCAAGAAATACACTGCATTAGGCACAAATTAGGATCCGCTCTGAGGAACTCAGAGTTGCATAGTTACTTTATTCATCTCTCTCTACTACCGAGGCGGAGACTCAATCTCCTAAGACCAAACAAAAGAAACAAAGGAAAACATACGAAACCTTGTATGCTCATTCACTGTAATGTTTACGGGATGTGAAAACTAAACACTTTATCTTCATGCAGGGAAGGCCACGGGAAAAACAGCGAGTTCCCAAATAACTGTCTGGGGAAGTTCAGCAACCCTGGAAACTTACTTCAGTAGACACATCTTGGTTCATTAGTTTGCACACCTCTTCCAGCTGCACAGGAAAACACCTTGACCGAGATACAAAAACGTTACATTTATATGAAACATAAAGGAACATCATTTAATACGAATAACCCTTCTTCACAAAACACACCACATAAAGGACCGCTTGGCCAAAAAGAAAATAATATGTATTTAGTTATTGGTTTTAATTTTCTTCAGCACATTTGTTAGAAACGAAGCATCTAAATATCTAAAGCTATTCTGTTCTGAAAGGACATGAGTGAGGTAGCCGCAAGTTGTTCATGTATGGCTTCAAAACCGGCTGTGGTATAATTACTGCGTGGGGAACGAAAAGGGTCAGATCAGAATATCCCACAATGTCTCTAGATGCCATAACAGCTTTTTCTGCACATGCCACTGCGCGCAAACATCGTGGAAGTGCGGCTGCTACAGGATCCAATTTGGATGAAAAATAGGCGACTGGTTTCAATCTGTCACCATGTTTTTGGAGCAAAACAGAAGTCATACAACCCCCCTTCTCATCAACAGCCTGAATAAAAGGTTCTGTTTGATCGGGAATACCCAGAGTGGGGGCCTTTTGGAGTTGTTTTTTCAGCGCTTCGAATGATGCCAATGCACTTTCAGTCCATGTGACACGTGAGCTCATCAATAATCCCTTGTCATGACATACTTCTCTCAGAGGTTTTTCAATCTCAACATAACCCGGTATGAAATGCCTACAATAGCCACAGAGTCCTAAAAAGGACATCAGTTGTTTTTTCGTTTGAGGGAGAGGTATGTTCACAATCGCTTCAATGCGGTTGCTGGAGATAGCTCTGCCTTCGGAGGAAATCACATGACCCAGAAAAGACACAGAAGGCTGCACAAACTGCAATTTGCTTCTTTTAACTTTATGACCATTTTCTGCTAGGAAATGAAGTAATTTCATGCTTTCAGAAACACACAGATTTTGATTGGGAGCCGCCAATAATAAATCATCAACATATTGCAAAAGAGCTGTCTGTGGTGCGAGTGTCAAATGTGAAAGATTGTCATTTAATGCTTGGTGAAAATGGTTGGACTCTCACAGTAGCCCTGACAAAGTCTTGTGAATGTGTAAAGTTTATCATTAAACTGAAAAGTGAACCAGAACCGGCTTTCTGGGTGAATTAAAACACTGAAAAAAAACATTTGCTTAATCAATGACTGTGAAAAACATGCTGCCTGTTGGAATTTGTGACAAAATAGTGTTTGGATTTGGAACAATAGCTGCTCTGGCAATGACAGATCTGTTAACTTCTCTAAGATCTTGAACAAACCTCCACTCAACAGGTTGATCAGGAGCACTGAGTTTCTTCACAGGAAACATGGGTGTCCTGACAGGTGAATTTGGACAAGGTACAATGATACCTGCTTCCAGCAGGGATTGGAACACTGGAGTTATTCCAAGCACTGCTTCTGGTTTCAAAGGGTATTGTTTTTGATTTGGATAGTGACAATTTGGTTTGGGCATTATGTGAACTGGTTTTGATTTTTTATTAAGCCCACATCATATTTGTGAGAAGCCCATAAATGGGCAGGCAGGGAGCTCAAAATAGGATCAGATGCAAGGGATAACAAATTATGTCATCCACTGTCATCAACCACCTCTTTTGAGGGAACCACTGTCAGATCAAAACAAACAAACTGTTTGTACATTTTCAATGATGGCGAAAAATAAATGTTTTCTGAGTGACACATCCAGTCAGTTGTTTCATGTGTTGCTTTTGCTAGAGGGCCAAAAGATTTCCACCTGTCTCCTGGATGTTTTGCCAAAGAGACATGAGGAAAAAAATCAGTCAGTGTGAAGAAAGTCAGTTGCTCAGGCGACAACCCAACCAGCAAAAAACAGGTCTCAGCGGACCAGCATATGTGAGTTGCACGCAGCAAAGATGGGCATTTAAGAAGGGAGGAGTCACCCAGCTCATCAGCTGGATCTATGGACACGTGAGCTGTGCAATGAAGGCATTTTACTGACATCACAGTGGAAGTGGGAGGAACTCTTTCCTGAGCCATTTGCGAAATGGCCTCAGATTGTCGGTCTGTAATCAACCATTCAAAGATGTAGAGCAGACTTGGTGTTTGGAATAAATTTAAGTCAGTGGGAGTTTGTTTTTGGACACGGAGCCCCGTGTCTGAACATTCAATAGACAGAAATAGTTTCAAAATGAGATCTCTGGCCAGGAGATTCACTGGACAACAGTTAGAAAACAGAAACTGATGTAAGTGAAGTTCCCCAGTGAACGGGTCAACTACTTCTAAAGCAGTTGTAACAGGTTCACTGATTGTTGA